GGCCCGCCACACAGTCCTCAGCCCCTCCCAAAGCCCTCCAGCCCCCCGCGGGTCGCCTGTCGGACCTGGCTGACCCTGTGGGCCCTCGGTAACGCGAGGCTCGCTGCCGCTACAGGGTGCAGACTGGCCGCCAAGGCCGCGCTTCGGGCTAAAAGAGCCGCTGCCAGGTGCACAGCCCTGGGCGCGAGCCATATGAGCTGGGAGAAGACAGCCCGACAACAGCAAGCTGCTTAGAAGAATACACCGCAGGCCCCCCCGCCCCCCCGTGGTGAGTATGGGGCCAGTGGGTGGGGAAGGTGTGGGCTGAAGGATGACTGATGGCCCCCCAGTAGGCCAGGAGGGAGAGGGGGTCAGAGCTGCCCTGGAGAGACCAGTCCCCCTGGTACAGAGGGAGGGTGCCTACAGCTTTCTTCAGAGACCTCTCACCTGGTCTCCTCTCCATCCCTGGTACAGTCACAGGCAGGCCTGGCACACACCACACGGCCCTGTTAGCTGAGACTCGCGCACCTGGCCTGTGAGGACCACAGCAAGGAGGCCTGGGGGGTGTAAGCACGCTGTGTGCTGGGGTGTGACAAGTGGGACCTAAGAGCAGGCCAGCTCATGAGGGCTTGTGAGGGCTCTGGGTGGCTGCTGGTGGCTCCTGGAGGCTGGTGGGGCTCCTGGGGGAAATTTCTAGAAGTGGGTTAGGCTGCCAGGTACACCGGAGGCTGGCTAGGGTGCAAAACCAGAGCCAGTTCTCAGGGCGATTCCATCCTGAGTGACCAAGCTGAGTAGCCTCACTGGCCCTTCAGGGAGTGGCTCAGGCCTGAGTGGAGCTGCTGGTATCTAAGAGCCCACCCCCTTTTGAGTCTGCAGGCTTGCCACATGCTGCCCCCTGGTGGTCATGGGAAGCCATGGTCCAGACCCCACATTCTCTTAGAGCCCATCAATTCTTGGCCCTCAGATAAGAGTTCATGGGGGTGAGGGTGGGGGGCATCTGCCGTCAGAGAGTGAAGTTGGGACTCCACAGGTCGTGGAGAAGCAGGGTACCGCAGCATAGGCTGAGGCCTGCTCCTCACTGTCACCAAATAGCCCTCATCTTAGTGACCAGAAAGCACTAATCATTTTTCTTCAAGCCTCAGCCTCCTGCTCTGTGGCATGGGGTGACTTCCTTGGCCAGCCTGCCTGTCCTGGCAGCCCCAGTCCCACAGCACGGCTGGAACATTCTGAGAAAGGAAGCCTGCTACTGTCCAGTTCCAGCTTTGTGGCCTTAGACACAGGGCTGTGGGCATCTCTGAGCCTAGGGACTGCACTGCAAAGCCCTCGCGTGTACGTGTGTACAGTAAACTTCTCCTGGATAGAGGAGACCAGCTATGCAGGCCCCCTGGCCTCGTCGGGAGAAACAGCGATGGAGGCTTGTTCAGCTCGAGATAATTCACCTCTCAGTGGGCCAAGCTGTCTCCAAAGGAAGGTGGGGGCAGGTGGACAAGGCTGATGGGAGCCCCTGATGTTGACAGATATGGAACCTGGACGCAAAGGCCCTTCTGTGCTACCCCGCTGCCCCAAGCCTAGGCAGCAGGTGAGTGATTCTCTCCGGGATGCGCACATGGCTTCATTGGCGAAAGGTGGGCTTGGCTGGGGAGGAACAGTGGGGATCAGATGTGGAAGAAGAAACCGTCAGGGTGACACCGACAGTGTGCGAGAAAGAGCCCCCCCACTTCTGTAGCTGATTAACGCCCGCAGGTGATCCCCCTCTTCTGGGCTCTGAAGGTTGACCGGGCTTGGACCAAACCTCCCCCTACAACCTGGAAGCCCATTCTTTTCTGAATTCCGCTGTTCCCCTTTCCTGAGCTGGGGGGGTGGGTGGGGTGTTCCACCTCTCCCTCCCAGAGGCTCCGTTTTGTCCCTCCGCACAGTCCCCCGTATGGCCGACCCTGGCCGCCCTGGCCCTCTTGAGCAGCGTCGCGGAGACCTCCCTGGGTCCCACGCCCCGCAGCCCCGCCACGCACGAAGGCCCCGCACCAGTCCTGGCTCCCCAGGCCGGCCACTTGCCCGGTAGGTGAGAGGAAGAGGGGGAGGGGACAGAGCGGGGCAGGGACCCCACGCCTGACTCCGTCTCATTCCAGGGGGACGC